CCTGCATATGTTTTTTTTCCTTAACAGATTGATGCTATGAAAAAAACAGAAAGAGGGACAAGAATTGGAACTAGAGGGTTGTTGCGAAAAATTTAAATTGATTTTGCCAAATATTTAGTCCTTTAATTTGTTAAGATTTCTTAAATGATATTATTTCAATATATTGATAATGAATTTAGAGTATGTTATTGTTTGAGCAATTAAATTTATGCTTATTTAGATACAAGAAAAGGAACTGAATGAAAAGCATGTGGAATTGAATGAGTTAAGGAAAGAAGAGTCCCAAATGGAAAGCGAACTCAATTCAAGCAAAACTCAATTTGATTTCTTCTTTACAAAGTAGCACCCTTTAGATAAGCCAAGTAAATAATTTTATATTACTTAATATTGTTTATTAAATTTTAGCTTATTTTTAAAAACACTTGTAATTATAAAAGACAAATAATCCACTTTAATGGGATAACAGTAGTAAATTAAAAACAATGCATTAAAACACAAATGCATCATTCTCGCTTAATCGAACACATATATTTTCTCCATTTCATTTTGCTTATTTGGTTCGAAGATTGAGTTTGAAGCACTAAAATTTATTCACTGTAAAAAACACAATAAATCTTTTTTACTCGTCTCTACTTATTTGTTATTTATTTTTTAAATAAATTTAAAACTCATTTTATAGTTTGCTTTTTGTGGAGGAAAAAAAACGATATAAACACAGCCTTATTTTATCCTTTTTCTATTTAATTTTTTTTTCAAAATACATTTCAAGCTTATGTAAGCAATTTAATTTTTCGTGTATTTGCTAAAGTGATTATTCACGAAAATTGCACTTATCATATTCCAACGTTATGCTTTTCAATTATTTCCTCTGCTGCATTATTATGTTTTTGTAAATTGAGCTACTTGTTAAAAAAAACTTGGCAGCTTAAAATATTTACAACTTAATTCGTCTTAGTAGATTTTTTGTTGAAAACAATTAAAGTTGCCTTGTTTGTGTATTTTTGTCCAGATCAAAATCAAAATTGATCAAATACAAGACCAAATACAATACGGCGCAGGTTAATGAGTGAAGCTATCAAGGATATGGATAAGTAATTTAATTTTTGTCTGTCTGTTAAAATGATAATTCACTCAACTACTTAATGGCAAACTTGATATCTTAAAATACTTAAGTTTTTGTTGAAGACAACTACTTAACTTTCCATGTTTATTTTATTTTCTTCTAGATTAAATATAAAATTGACCAAATACAAGAGCAACATAGGTAAATAAGTAAAGCTATCAAGGATATGGATAATGTTGTTTCATTTAGTGATTTCCGAAATGTATCAGACTTTGAATGACTTTTCTACACCTAATGATGACATAATCTATATTTCACCAACTGTAAGTATGCCTTTAGTTTTGATTAGATTGTTTATCACTTAGAAATCTTTATTGTGTTTATCTTTTATTCACATCATAAAGGTCCATGTAAGTTTTAATTATCGTAATTTATTTACATATATAAAAAGAAATTCTAATTTAATATATTAAATACAATTCTTACATTTCTGTTGTAATTTTAAACTATAAAATTTTTAAAAATAATTATCAGACATCTAAGTGTTAAAGGCAATCCCTTTTTTTTACAAGATAGCAAATTTTTGGTATGTTGGTAGTATATGTCGTTTACGGAAGAAGAAACCTAAGATAAAAGCTTTTAAGATTTAAAATACATTTAAAAAAATAAAGTCTTCAAAATTTTTCATTCAAACCGTTACAGAGTGAGTGGGACTTGCTAACTTATTGATTTTAATACATATGTCCTTACATCTTAAAAGTTCTAGATTTGTGGTTTATTTTAAAAAAGATTTTCATTATGTTTTATTTTTTAAAATACTCTTGAAAAAAAAATTTGATTTCTTATGTTTTTTTTCTGGTCATAAGAATTGTTTTTTAGAAGAAAACCTTAATATGAGAGAAAAAAATACTATGAAAGAAAATGAAAATTAATTGTATCTAACATATTAAAATAGTTTTTGAAAGGGGTAAATCCATACAGAGTTATTCATATCTATCACATCGATTATAATGCATCAATATTTCTCGATCAATTAATGTCCATCTTCACTGCTGGTGCATAAGTAGAGCCCCTGATTTTTGTAAAATTTTAGGGGTTCAAAAATTTTATATATACATTTTGATATATGGTATTTTAATTATTCTACTCTTGTGTGTTTCTTTAAAAGACAACGCCTTAGAGCGTCCCTTTTATTAATAAGTACTGGTCACATGACTTAGATATTAGTCATATTTAGTTAGTTCTGATGGTTGTTACATTTGTGTTTGGTGCAGTATGACCAATTATAATTCTTCTGTCATTAAGCTTTTATTGTAATCCATAAAAAAAATAGTTGGTATTATCTCCTATATGGGCTTTTATTTTGTTTTTGCAAAATTTTAACTTTCTCTTTTACTAAATGCATTGTATCATATTTCATACTTTGAATTGTCTGTGTTACTTTCATAAGTAAAAGGGGGAAATTTTCTTCATGATTAAAAATATACACTAAGTGCAAGGGCAGAAATTCTGTTATGAGACTGGGCTTTTCAGCTTTATTCGATGTTCACTCTTTTTTTCATATTCAAAAGGTAGTTATCAAGTATTTACTGTAATCAACTTGAAGAAAATAATGAATGAACTGTAAAATATTCCATATAATCATTTTACTATTCCACAAATTTGAGAAAAGTGCCTGACTGCATCAGAAATGCATAAAAAATATGTTTTGTTTCAAAAAGTTAGTTTTCAGTTCATACATCATTTAATCCCTCTTCTAGAAACAAAAATGGTTTATATTTCTCAGAAAATATTTGTTTATACAATGATATTTACTAAATTTTTATTATTGTTATTTTTTGTTATTGAATTGGCAGATGTTAAATTAGTTACATTATATAAGTCTAAATTTATTATTTTTAATTTTTTTTTCCTCATAAAATACATTAAATCGAATTATACTTTCCAAATTATCGAATTTATGCAACTTTGTGGTAACTTAATTTGTTGGAAATTTGGATACTTATTTTTTTTAAAGGTTTAGTTTCTTCACACGAAACTAAATTAAAAACGAAACACACGAAACTAAATTAAAAACTAAATTAAAGATACGAATATTAAAATCTATATGGTTTGTCTGAAAGTATTTGCAATTATTTTTATAATAGTACTTTGATTCGATATTAGACTGTATCAAACTGCATTTGTGATTTAGTTAGTTAAATAATTTTTAAAAATGCATGAAATATTTTTAAGGGACCAAAAACCTTTGATGAAGTTGAACCAGCTGTAACTACTACACCTGTGAATGATTTTCAGGTAATCATATTTTCCCATTTATTTCTTTGAAGAGAAAATTTTAAAACTTTCTTATTATTCACAAAATATGGTTAGTGTCACAAAGTATGGTTAGTGTTCTAAACCTGTGGCCCCATGCTCTGTGAGGCATTAAGAGAATTGTGTCAATTCAAGCATACTTATAGAACTAATTATTAATCAAAGTGTAAATATGTGGAAATCAAATTGGAAAATTATTTTGAAATAATAATAATAGTTTTTGATATCTCTGTAAACATGCAGTTATGTTTGTTTGGTTTATTTGGTTTGTTTGTTTGTTATATAAATTCAGATTCAATTTGATTTGGACAGTTGAACCCAAATTTAATGAAATTAACTAAATTGTAGTTGTTAACAATTATTCAAAGCAAATTATATATTTTTAGAAACTAATTAATATACAATGTTTAATTTTGAGTTTTACTTAAGGTATTTTTAATTTGTAATTCAATTATATAATGTATAGTAGTATTGTTATAATGTATCTACAAACAATAGTCTCTCGAGGACTTAATACTTTGATAAATTTTAAAAAAATATTCATAAAAATAATAAAATGTTTCAATTTGATACAAAGTAACTAATTGAAAACTATTGTTATTGAAAACTATTATTTGCATATTGAAAACTATTATTTGCATATTATTACACCTGAGTACCCCTCTATTTTCCCTCAGAGCGGTGATACCCTGAACAAATTTATAACACGTTTTAATCATAATTTCCCAAATTTTTATCAAAAAATTCTGGGTTTAAAGCTCAAATTGTTCCTGTTGTTTTGCTTTATAGTCCCAAATTTAATTCTATTTAAAAGAGAACAGAAAAAATAGAAGATTGATTATGGAATGATATATATATATATATCGTTCCATAATCAATCATCTATTTTTTCTATTCTCTTTTAAATAGAATTAAATTTGGGACTATAAAGCAAAAAAATTTTTAAGCCAATCCTCAGAGTAAATATATGCATATCTAAGCACACATGTCACTGTTTATATGGCATATTTGTAAATTTTAAAAAAGTGTATGATTTTTTTCCCACCTTAAAATTACTTAACAATGGATGTGAACCTGCAGTAAGTGAATAGGCTGTTCTTAGCTATTGATATTAACAATTCTACTGCTGACATTTATATTATGGCTTGGAGACCACACTATAATTTTAATATATATATTTTTTAAAGGCTTTTATTATGAGTTATTATTTTATATGAAAATTTCATTTTGTTTTAATACTGTTTTGGAGAATTTTATTTTGACTTATTATTAAATTTTTAAATAAGTTCCTGTATTAATCTTAAAATCGCTGGTATCTAAACCTCTCATTGATAATGGCAATTTTTATTTGATTCGTTTTTTTTTTTGGAGTTATAAAGTTTTAGTTATAAATTATTTCTTTAAGTTAAAAATGTTGCTCTTTGCTTTTAGTTCCAATGAGTTTGTTACACTCTTTATATGACATTTTGTATAGTTTTTGCATAATTAAGGTTCGAATTATTATTTTGTAAAGTTTGCTTTTTATTTAATTTCATGAAACTGAATTTATGTATGTTTCAGTTTTATAGTTCGTTTCACTTAATAATTTTTTAATGATAATAAATTTTTGATTGATAATTAATGCTATTCAGGAATATATAGTGTCTAGAATTCTCTCTTATTTTATAGGTTCTTTTGTTGATACTAATGTTGGAACAGCAGTTAGTGATCCTTTCAGTGGAGACCCTTTCGAAAATGCTTTTAATGTAACTGCATCACAATAAAAAAAGTGAGAATTTTGATTTGAATATTTTAAAAAACATTTTTTAATTTGATTATTTAAAATTTTTTAACAGGTATTAATAATTGATTGTTATGCAATACATATTTTAGAAGAAACTTCTCATTTCAGTTAGAAATTCTAACTGTCATTATTTTTCTGTTATTTATGCGGGTTTAGCTTTTGTTTCTGATTGCTGAAACTTATACAAGTACAATATTAATTAGTAAAATAATTATCACTTGAATAAAATTAATATTATTAAATGTTTCTTTTTTCATCCCAATCGCTTTTAAAAACAAGACAACTTATAGAAAGTGAATTAATTGTTTTATTTTGATAATATTGTATATATTATAAACTTTTAATACAATTGATAAAATATGCAGTTCAATCAGAATTTACAAATTATTACATTCTATGAATATTGTTTCTGATGGATGCAAATTATGAAAAAACAGCTATTTGACTCTGCAAATGCATTGCTTTAGATAGTATTCTTGAATTTCTTTTTTTTTTTAATTTTTTTATTTTATTGTCAAAACTGTATAAAAATAGAATTAAATCAACATTTATAGTTTAAAGTTTATGAATTCCTTTTTGTAAATTGGTTAAAAAATACATTTCTTATTAGTTTTAATTTAGTTTACTGTATTATACATTTTTAAACATAACAATTAATTTTTAAAAAAATTTCAATACATATACATTCCATTTTACATATTTTTTTTGCTTAAAACTTATGATTCTTATTATATTAGAGCTAAAAGTTCCCTTATACTATGGTTTTAAAAATTGAGAAGAAATTTTAGATGTAATAGATTATATCTAGAACTACTGTATAGATTTTAGTGAAATTTACTATCAACATAATCAATGTAATACAAATTTAATGATCTTTCAACAAATATAATGCCTTTTGCATGATCAAGTGTATTACTCATGTGAGTTCAAAGTATGAAATAGTGGATTAAAAAGGAAGGGGTTTTGGAAAGATATCGCACTCTGAAATTGTTCTCTAGAGTGTACCAATCATGCTTTATAGAGATCTAGAGACCTGACTATCAAATATACTTGACCAAAGTCTGCACTTTTTCAGAAAATTGTCTACCTGGTGAGCTCTGTGTTGTCATGCGTTACCTTAAAATGATAATAGGGATAACCTCACCTCTGAAAAGTCAAACAAAGAGTATCAAGGGTTCTTTTTTATACCTTGTGCTAGTCAAAGTGCTAGTTTATAAAATATATAGGGGATCTGCAGCTATTCAGCATACTGCTTACTCGGACCACCAACACTAAGCTTCCATAATAGTAAATTTCTTAATCATTACACTGGTAACATTAGAGAATAGATAGTGGCGCCTTTGTTCAAAAGTGAAACTCTTTCATATGAAGAGAACCAGTGGTTTGCCAAAACTTCTCAAGTATCTAAAAAAACAACCATTATATTTGCCTTTTAATCGATACAGTTGACCCAAATTTGATTTATATCCAGATTTGATCAATTAGTTTTGAACAGAAATAAGATAGACTGTGATTTTCTTAAAAGTGAAAATATAGACTTAATAGATTATCCAGCAAAAACTTACTCTGATCTGTACTCAATGAAATATGTGTGAAATGCTCTGGGAAGAGAAATTAAAACTTACAGGCATCCTCAGACAACCAGCTCTAGCCCCTGAAAATAGTGTTAACTGCTTTATTTCCACCTTTTTTGTTTGAGAATGTATTGTATGTCTGTGAGAAGGGGTCCATAGTTTGGAACAATGTTTCATTTGTTCGATTCAGTAGCTCCTGTTTCATACCTTCCAAGTCCGATGAGTGTTGCACATGATCATGTGTGTGAATGTTATCATACCTGGTGAATGTTCATTATATATGTATTGTATCAACTTATATGCATTTAAATTTCATAAAGCATTATTATTTTCCGAGTTAATTAAAGAGTGATTATTTAAAGAGTTATCCATTCTCTGGAAGTGATCCATTTGGGGGATTTGATACTGCTTCTACCCCTACAAACCCTGGTAAGTAGTTGTATAAAAATTTATTGCATTTTGGCAGATCTGAATCTGCTTATTTATTTTTTGCTTTTCATTTTTGAAAACTCTAGCTTTCCAAGTTCTAACTTTAGGCAAAATTGAGTAAGCTATTCCCTGCTACTAACTTGTTACCCATTAAATAACATTGAGATAAGTTGCATGGGCCCGAATAGCCTGGTTGGTAGGTTTCTGGGCTCATGTTCGTGAGTTCGAATCCTGCTGGCCAAAGAATCCCCTTGTATTAAATTGTGACTAGGACACTTTAAATTTGTTGGGGACACAAAGTCCTCCATGTTCCCATAACAAATCACTATCTCCGGAATTACTGAATTGGACATCTTTCTCTGGTTAAGGTCAAAATTATGATGCGTGGAGTGTGAATGGGTTCTCCCGGTAAAATAGGTTGTGACGTGTGTATGGCTAAAGTCGCACTCTTGGGCTTAGATGGCGCCACTGAAAAAACAAGAAATGCTTTCTCTGCCTTAAAATAGCTTAGATTCTCATGGGAGGATTGCCGGTATTATTGGCAAAGTCATGCGAATATTTTCATGCCAAGCGCAGTATCTCCATTGTGGGAAAATAGATTTTCTGTACAGTAAAAGCAAACAGACTGGTACCGGAATGAAAATTGATGTTAGCTAACAGGTTTAAGCTTAAAAAGAGCCAGAGCTATTATTTAGATGGTTAAAAATTATTTTATTCTAATTATTTTAAAAACTGTATTAATACTCATTTCTTGTCTTTAGAAAAAGATCGTTTTGATCCGTTTAGATTATCTCAAGCAAATTCTAATCAAGCTCCTTCTATGGTATGTATGACTTTTTGGTTTTAATTGGTTTATGGCAAATTTTCAGTTCTTCAATGATTTCATTTTGCTGGGTCACTGAAGTTTCTGAAAATTATCTTAATAGATAACAGATAAATATTCAGATTATTAATGGGTGAAATTGTCTGCATTTATAAATTTTGGTTGCTTAAAGTTTGCAACTTTATCTATTTTTAAAAAAATTAACTTTATAAAAGCAATGTGGCCACCCACCTTGAAAACCTGGAATTAACAGGAAATTTTTTATACTAGAAAAATCAGGAAATTTTTAAGAAAAGCTAGTTCTTAATTTAAATTTTTTTACCATCCGTTATATCCACTTTATTCAGATTTAAAAATCGTCAAACAGTCGAAATATCTTTGCAATACTTCATTAAAATTCTCTCCATTATTACCCCGCTAAGCTAGAATGCCATATAAATCTCTCCCATGTTGCTAAATGAATGGAGAAATCTCTTTGGAGATTATGGGTCTAGGCAGTTTAGGAAAGATTGTGGGGGAGGTGGAAGAAGTAAATTTGCTTCGGTTCATAAAAAGAGGATTTTTCTGTTTTTTATCTTCTAATCTGTGGGTTAAATTCATTTACTGTTCAAGTTTGTTCCGATGCTTTGGGGGTATTTTTTTTCTTTTAACAAAACGTTTCGGTATTTTTAACTTTATAAAATTCTTCAAAAAATAATTGGTTATAATTTAATAATGGATTTTATTTACACTCTTTTACTGAAAACTTTTGTACTTCCATCCAATGAATTATTTTTTCTCTGCAAAGTCAACCTATCACTCATTTTCCTGAATCGCTAACAGCAAAATCGTTAGAAATGTTGCATTGATGCTAATTTTCTGGATTTCATTTTAAACATTTATAACATATTTTATTTTTAAAAAAAGATTCTTTTATTAATTTCTAATTTAAAATTCAAATTGTGTATTAATCACAATGTCAAAAGTTTGTAAATGTTTCGTTTACATTCCAGAAATATTTCCGAAACTGTTTCTCCTTTTACCCTAAAAACGAACAAAGGCATGGCAAACATGTTAAATGATGTATAAACTTAGAAAATAAAAAAAAATAATTATATTTGTTCATTAGGAAGAAGGGAAACGAAACTTTGTTTTTTTTGTTCTGCAGTACTGGTACAGGTTTCAATTTGGGATGACCAAAATTTTAAATTTAATATTAAGTAAACAATGGATCATTTCCAAGGTGAAAAACTTAGAATTTCAAAATAATGATTAGTAAATATCAGTTTTCAATAAGTTATAGGCTGTTAAGTGAAAGGTTACATCATTTCAAATTTTTAACCATGATAAGTGAATCTCTTACAAAGTACAGTTTGTTTGTTTTTAATTTATACAAATAATAGAAAATGGAAAAAATAATAATCAAAGTGAACTGTAACAAAACAGGTTATCTTACACAAATGTGTATAAACATTTCACATTTTGATTTTTAAAAAAATTCCTGCGTAAAATTTATATGCGACACCAAAATACATAATTAATTGTATTGAGTCACTCGATTTAACATAATTAAATTATTTTTCTGTTTAAAAAGCAAGATTTTGATAATAATAAATATTTTTATTGTAAATTAACAATTAATTATATTTACGTCAGACACCACTGCCTTTCTTTTTATTACATTTGTTTTTATTTATTTCCATCTCTTATTTCGCTTTTTCTTTATAAAGTTAAATGAAATCTGAATAGAAACCATCATCTTAAATATTCCTTTAGGTTAATTTACAATAACATATTTCTCTTCTGTAACCTACTAAAATTTGTTTAACTGTGCTGTACTTTAAGTTATTTATATTATAACTTAAAATTGATCAATGAAGTTTTTATATATTTTTTTATTTTCAATTTTTTATTTGATCTACTTAACTCAGTTTTAATTTTTTGAGAAGCAATTTATCTTTATTCAGAACATTTTATAT